ATAATTTCGTGAACAATCGAGTTTTTTTCTTTTTGCGGTCCGAATATACCCGTTCCCAATTCGGAATATCTAAACGTGATGTGATTGCTTTTCAACCCCGTGCTACCCCGTGCCTCCTTAAAAAATGCATCTATTGGTGGTATACTGAAGACACTACTGGGATGATGGGATGTAGTGAGAGAGTGACTCAGAGAATACTGGAATGATGTGTTAAATACAAAAAGAGTGAGGGAAATCACTTCGAAATAAAAATTTTGAATACCTTGCCTTATAGAAGCTTGACACTCTTCCAATAAAGAACTCGAGGCTTGTATAAAGGAGATTTGGATACAGGCTCAAAAGATATCAAGGAGACATACTATATAGCAGAGCTATTACAGGCCTGATAATATATGAGGTCTATGATGTGCTATAGGATATGTAGGGACTTGGAGGATGTGCGCAGTGAGAAAACATGTCACATCACGTGGCTGATAAGATAGGATATATCCGGACCGCAAAAAGAAAAAAACTCGATTGTTCACGAAATTATGCAAACCCCTGTAAGTCTGTTTTCAAACTTCTTCGAAGTTCAGAGCTGAAAAAATATATATATATAATGATAGATGGACAAAGGTTTGTAACAGCGTCGACAAAATAACGCAGAGTATTCGCGCTCCAGGCTCAAAAGTACGGATACTATCAACATTAGATGCAAGGGATAGCTTCCCTCCAAAAGACTGAATGATGTCTTGATCAAAGATCGTCATAGGCTGGAGGTGAATTCTGCGAAGTTATATCATCGAGTCTCCTACGTAACTTGTTGATTTGAGCCTGTGTGGGGTTCGTATCTGTTTCTGACACCGCACTACGTGGCAGACTGGACATTGTCAATTCCTCAAAGGGTATAGCACAGGGCTTGGTGTGGACCACGGCGGACCATTATGGCATACTGATAGAGTCTTGATCTTATCGTTAACAGGGGAAGCGAAACTCTGGACACTTGGTGACTGGGCCTGTGCGCCCGTGGAATTTGTAGTCGCATATGCTGCATTGTTCATGAGTATCAAGGAACAGGTTGAAAGGTTGAAATGTAAGGGGAGTTTTACCATTCATGTTTTACGTATCCATCGGTCCAGGAGAAACAAGCAACGACTCTGCCTTGAGTTGATGCCATCGGCGGGCTATGATAATTGCAAAAGCAGCGAGAAACGTCAGGCCCACTGGACCCCCACCACGCAACCAACGAGCACGCCCGTCTCTACATGCTCGGAGTTGCCGTTCCCTTGCGTGGGAGCTGCTACTGCCTTAGGTGTTGGTAATGCAGAGCCCGTGTCCGTGAAGTCTGGCTTGTTCGCAAGTGACTCGAACGATGGAATACACACAGGTGAGATAATCGAAAGCGAACGTCTGGTTTCCAATCGCGTCAGTGACATTTACAGATATGGTTGCCTGAGGTAAAGTTGAATGAGAAAAATTGACAATTCGGTGTTTCGTGATGGGGAGGAGTTGAGCCTGATAGTATGCTGACGACCGTGGTAGTGGTTTGGTTGTCCAGAGCGAGATCGAGAGTACTGCTTCCGGCCCCCAGTCCATTCAAAAACACCAAAGACTGCGATGCTACTGCCTAGAAAAAGGATTGAAAGGCATTGGCTGAAAAAAAACAGGCCAGAGAAGAAAAGTGCACACCAGAAAATTGGGATCTGAAAGCATTACCCACAGAGTTTGTGCGATGAGTCGAATTTCCTAACGGTGGCCCATTTTCCCAGCCTCCGTTCATGATTAAAGATGCGTCCACTCGTATTCCATCCACTACCTTGATACGTTGGAATCATTCATTCACAATGATGGTCGAGGTACTACCCAGAGGTGTCGTCTGGCCCACGGTGACGATCAGCGTAGTCTACATCCACAACAAGGTTGGACAAGTTCACCGTGGTGCGGCTCGTCGTCCAGAGTCATACCACTGTGTGTAGGATTGTGGGACACCAGCATTCGGAAAGTGCAATTCAAACGTGCAGTCACCTCGTCCCCAGAGCCAGAGTCAATGGAAGGAACATACCAAGTCGGAGAGCTAGTGCTGGTCAGAGTTGAACCTGTGAATGTTGAGTTTATGAACGTATATTACGAGCTTTTCAGGGCTAAGCAGTAGAAATGTTCAATTCCCAGCCACTTGGACAAAGGAGGCGGATAAACAAGTGGTCCAAAATCCATCCAATTGAGCGAGAAAGCCTTTGAAAGCCGCCATAGTTCCCTTGCGGTCACATACGGATATGTTATGGAGGATTCTGTGATTATCTTTGTTGCTCTATTAGCATTGAATTGAGTTTCGTTGATGTTCAGGGCACTGAGTTAATGAGTTTTGAAGAGTCTTGGGTATTGTAGTAAGCTGGGTAGAATAGTCAAACACGGGCGGAAAGCAACACCGAAGGACATAGACTGAGAGCCGCAGCGCTATGGAAGATTTTGGCCCGAGGGGCCGGGTGTGGTTCCTCGTCGTTTCTATTAAGTATGAATTTTTAGATATTCATTCAGGAACGAATCCTGCCCTGATTCACGCCCTTGGACAAAGAAAAAATACAAAAATAAAATACAACGCTTACACCGTTCGGGAATCGAACCCGAGCCGCTTGCTCCACTACCACTACTTGGGTTGGGATGGAAGGCAAGCATGATAACCACTTCACCAACGGTGTATATACATTTTGGGCACTTTTATTTGTCTGAATAAACTGGAGTACTCATTGCCAACTTCCATCGGAAACCGTCAGTGCATCCTTCTCTTCGAGCTTACGCGCCTTATACTGCAACCGCTCTTTCACCTCATTCTCTCTCTCTCTCTCAGTTGGCAACGTTGACCCCGACTCCGCCAACAACCTTAGATGCTTACTCAGTCACCTGGTTCCAATAAGTTCCAATCAGTTCCTATCATTCCCAGTTTGGATACGGGCGCATTCTCTTTGACGTTGACGCTCGACCTCCCGCCACTCGCCGTATCTCGAAAAAAATTGCTATCGAAAAGGCTGTGTATTTTGGTCACTAATCAGACTGCGTTCGAGTCATTCCGGTGTCCAATCTTGTCCAATTCAATGGGTAGAACTCATTCGACTCATAGCATCATTCGCGCGTCAAGTTTCTGCATAACACATACATTTGAGGATGTGCAAGAGTTCTCAAAGAGTCACCCATGCGAATTTCGTCCCCGGTCCAATCTCAGTTTGCTACACCGGTCCCTTTCAGTGTAGCTTTCATTCGAGCCACTCCAGTATTGAACATTCTGTAACAGTAAACAATCAGCTGTAACATTGGGTCTGTACAGCACAAGAAATCAAGAGCGGTTTCAGTGTCACAGATCACAGCTATGCAAGGGGGCCTAATTTGAACCATATCCGAAAAAATGCGGGGTGTGTGTGTCATCTGTAATCCTTTCGAGCTAGTGACTAAAATAGTAAGAAACTTAACCCCATTTCAGTTTTACAGCAGCTGCGTTAACTTCTCACTGTGTTTTGCGGTCTACGCACCACTAAAGGAAACCCGAAAGAAAAGCTCAGTACATGGGTACACGAACATCTATACATCTCAATGCTGTTCAGTGGTTGGTTCGTTACCTGAGACGTGAGCGCTGTCTGGCCGTACGGCGTAGTATGCAGTACCGCTTCCGACAAAGTTGTGACTCTTCTTTCGTCGACATGATTCGGTGCAAGGTTTGCTATCCGCATTCAAAAAAGTATTCTCCAACTTTATAAGAAGGGCTGGGGATGACCTGTGCTGACTCCTTATCTCTTTCTTTTACAGTGCATCTCTTCCCTTCCAAGATGCCTCTCTCCACCTCAACCTCCTCTTCCAGCAAACCTCAGCTACTAACACACCTATCTATCCTCCGGGATAGCAGCGATCGTTTCGCTCGCTTAGCAGCATTCAAAGTCCCTTCCGCGGAATCCACTTCTACTGGAATTCCCCGCTGGGACACCATCACGTTCAGACAATTCTCCGATGACGTCCAGCTATGCGCCAGATACTGGGCACGCGAGTTAAATATCCAGGGTAACATTCCGCGTAAATCGGTGGTGGGACTGTGGATTGGGGGATACACCTACTCTGATGTGCTCCACATCTACGGGATCTCCAAAGCGGGATACGTGCCCCAGTTGTTCAGTCTTCGTCTTCCAGACCCGACTGTGATTTTTGAGCTTCTTCAGAAGGCGGGAGCTAGGGCACTGGTAGGTGACCAGGGGACCTTAAGCTCCATCGGTGACCAAGGGATGATGAACTCCCCTGTACCGATATTTACAGCTATTTCATTCTCTGATATCGAGGTGTCATCACAGAGCTTACTTCAGGATGTCAACGATTCATATCTTGTATCGGAAGAAGAACCTGTTGATCCTTCGGATTGTGCATTCGTGTTCCACACGAGTGGATCCACGTCCGGAAGCCCCAAACTAGTCCCTTGTAACTATCGCTGGCTCGATGCCGTAGCTCGCAAAGCCAGTCAGCTTTGTGTCCCACTTAACAAGAACGGCCAGGACGTCAGTACTTGGATGTGAGTACCTTCCTTTTAAAATCCATAATCTCACACCCATACTGACACCCCCTTTACAGCGGAAGCATGTGTCATATAGGACAAACGACTATGCTCATCTGCCTCATGCAATACGGCACCTGCATCGTCCAGCCAAGACGATTCCCCTACCCCGCAGACGAACTAGCCGCTATGGTCGAACACTGCAACGTCAACCGTATATGGCAATTCTCCGCCTTCTTCTCCGCTCTCCTCCGCGCTGCGCGCAGCAACCCAGATTTCCTCCGCGTGCTAGTGGGGCTCGACGAAGTCACCACCTGTGGAATGGCGTTATCCAAGGAAGACCAGGATTTCGCTTATAAATCCGGGATTAACCTCCAGGAGATCTTTGGGAGTACGGAATTGGGTGGATCGACACTCGTTTCATTAGGAGGGAAGGATCCGAATACTCGGAGACATCTACGCCCATTGAGCGGACTTGCGTACGAGTTCCGTCCGGTCAATACTAGTGCTCATGCTGAGGACGATGGCTCTGGGCATCAATCTACGAATCGGCTACTCGAGTTTGTGGTGCTTGCGGCATCTGGTGACTGCCCTGACGTTTCGTTGAGAAATCCCGAGGATGGGGATTTCCATACCGGGGACCTATTCATCGAAGTCGGATCTGGGAAGTATATCTTCGCCGGGAGGGATGATGATTGGATTAAGACTGAGAGCAGTCTCAGATGTGATACCAAGTAAGTATCTTTCGTCAAATAACGCCTTTCCTACATACTCATTTTACAATAATAACCCCTTAGGTCCATCGAAGACAACGCCCGCGCAATGTGCGGTTCCCTAATCTCAGAATGTATCGTCGTCGGAACCGGACGTCCCTCCCCAGTGCTCTTTGTCGAAAGCACCGCAGGGGTCGACGAGACCAAGCTCAAAAAGGACATCTGGCGAAAGATCCGACAATTCCACCGCCGAAGATACATCCACGAGAGTATCACATCCGCTGATATGATCATCGTCGTCCCTCTTGGTTCGTTACCCCGAACAGCGTCAAAGGGGAATATCCGCAGAAAGGCTGTAGAGGAGGAGTATAAGACACAGCTTGATAAGCTGTTTGGTGTTACGGACTGCTAATGCTGATAATACATCAAATAAATCAGGTTTGGGCTGTATATGTTGTTGTTATTCATGTTTCGCCGCATTTTTCGATCCTCTTGGATCTGTACTTTGTATCTCATTTGATTTGCCTCCATGTACAATTCATAGGAAACGGTATACATAGCATAGTAGTAGGTAGCCGGTTGTATTATTACTTGGAACACCCCACTTTGTGTAGTAGTAGTAGTATGTAGTTTCACCCCCTCCCCATCTTATTTATTCTCTACAGTTGATGACAATATATGGGGGGATGAGCACTTACAAATCTGAATCACACATGATTGGTTGATGATCCTTTACTATACTGAAATGAGACGGAGCAAGAATCTCCTTATGCATTACTTACTATGATCCATAACTCAGCATGCGAATGAGAACGCCTTGGGAACGGCGAGAGAGCGAAGTGTGTGTCAAGAGGTGTCAAGTTGATACCAGGTAAGTTGTCGTTGTCGCTCCTCCTCCATGACCGTCATGATTTCTCGACAGCGTTACCTGCCGTTACAAGATACCACAATACCCAGAGGGTGAATTTGGTTTAAGGAATAGTAGTAGTAGTGTTAGTAGGAGAGCGCTAAAAGACTAGACACAGGAAGAGTCCTTATCCACGTATGTGTTTCTCCTCATCATCACCCCCACCCCCACCACGTCCACGATTCTCCAAAACCCTACTCGGCCCCTGCCTGGCAACAGCCCACACAAACACCCCCAGCACAACAAGGAGCTGGATCCACAACCACGCTTCAAGGACCACCGAACGCACGCGGGTGATTTTGTCTGTCGATGATGTGGATGGGAAAATAGCGCTCCAACTCCACCTCGCGGTCCGGGCTTTGACGGTTTGGGAAAGGGAAAGACGATGGGTGTGGTGAGAGTTGGGGGTTTGGGTTTGTTGGGATTTTGGGGGTAGGTGTGAAGGATGAGGAAGGGGAGAAGACAGTTGGTGCTGCAAAGAAGGGAACGAAGAGCCCTCGTCACTGCCAATCCCCTCAAGCTCACTCGTTCCAGGATCCAGTGATTGGGAGCGAGAATAAATTAGAGACAGAGAGAGCGGTTCTTGTTCGAACAAGCCAACGACGGATTTTCTTCTATCCTTCGTGCGTTGGATTATGGAGTAGCAGCCACGGAGCTCGGATTCCAAGTCGATAGCAGTCCTTTCACTATGTGGAGCCCCGTCCAAAGACCAAAGTTTTCGCATCTCCTCAACCTCGAGCTGCGCATCGTGGAGTCTACACCCCGCCTCGCGCTGTTCACGACATATCTCGACATTGGCGTCTTCGAGTTGGGTGATTTTACAGTGGAGGTATTCGAGGATTATGGAAATTGAATCTGGATTTGAATTCGAGTGTTGGAGTGTAGAGGAGGAGGAGGAGGAGGAGGAGGAGGAATGAAGATCTTCTCCGTCGCCATGGTTTGTTCTCGTTTGTTGATTCGTCGGACTCTGCATGGCACTGGCAGCTTCACGCCTCGCCTCATCCAACTCGTCCCTGAGGAGTTGGATCTCCTTCTCCAACTTGACCACGTTCCTCCTCCCCGCTCGTTCCTTCACCGCGGCTTCTTCCTCCAACACTTCCAATCTCTGGATGAGCTCGGTGTTCTGGTCTGAGAGACGGGCGAGTTCGGAGCGGGTTAGCGAGTGAGAGTGAGAGTGTTTGTGCGAGTACAAGTGGTTAGTACTGCTAGTATCCAGTTGTGAGATAGATTGAGACGACGTCGGCGTTGGACTCCAACACGCGGAGTGCGATGGCGACGCTCGCCGGACTTGAGCTGGTGGTCGTGGTCGACCAAGCATTTAGCAGCCGAGGGGTTGAATTGAAACAATTCTGTGGGGTACGGCTCCCGGTCCGGTTTCACCCTCACTTCCTCATGTACCTCCGTCCAATCCACTCCTCGCACGATATCCCTGCTCTGCACGACTTTATCCGTGAGAACCCTCTGGGGATATTCACCACCGCCCTCGATGCACCGCCACACGCGTTTATCCAAGCTAGTCACATTCCGTGGGTCCTCGACGTCGACGACCCC